AAGGTGTCTATAGAATCTGACACCCCAACCTTACTCCTCATATGTCAGCTATAGAATCAGGGGTTCACAGGGAAAACAGGCTACAGCATCAAAAAGCAAGGCACTGATGCCAATTCAGCTTCTTTGACTTGATTCTGCAAGCCCTGGGATTATTGATCCAGTGATGGTCACCGCCTTTGTGCCAATACCTGCAGAACATGATCAGGCGCCAAATCTGGTCGAAGATCTCTGGCTGCTGGTATGGCTGCTCAATGTGTGCCAAGACTTGGTGCAAGGTGCGGGGATCGCCTTTTGAAGACTCTTTGCCATCTTTGCCCTCAATCTCTGATTCACGATCACACTCCTGGAACAGGTTGGCCAGCAATTCTGCATCTGGGACCTTCTTCAAGTAGATGTCGCTGTCTGAACCGCTCATCTTTGCATCCGTCGCCGCTTCTGTGTGAGCTTCAGGGTCAGCGTCTGCTGATGCTTCCTCACCCAAATGTGAAATGATCTTGGGCATATCCTTTGCCTCTTCATCGCCGTCATTGTCTTCCGCCTCATCATTCTCCATGTCCACGTCATCCTCTTCATCTCCTAGGACAGGATCTGGGTCCTGGTAGGACTTGTTCTCACAATATTCCCGGTAAGCCTTCTCCAGCGAATCAGGAGTCACATCTGCACAAAAAGCGGCCAACCGCACTGAGGCAGTGAAGGCTTTCTGGCTCAGATCGTAGAATTGTTCACGAGGAAGAGGCTCTAGGATATCTGTGGATGCTTCCACAGTCTTGCTGCTTTTCTTGGCCCTGTACATGTCATGCGCGCAAGCACGAAAAAAGGAGCGTGCTGTGAGTTGCGCCGAGGGCGATTGCAGCCTTAAAGCTCCAAACATTTCCTCCACAGCGAGTTCGGTGAGTCTTTGGTGCCCATGTGCCCACGGATTTCCGTACTTGCTCTTTGTCAGGCAATGCGCGATGCAACCAAGCGCTGTGTTTTGGAGATTGCGCATAGTTTCGGCGGCTAAGAAGGCTGAACCTTTCGGCAAACCAAGGCGGCGGCAGCGAGCGTCTGCCAGGAATTTGAACATGTCCAGCAAGCAAAAGCCACTCAAAGCGTTCTGCAACCGCTCGCTGACTGACATGGACTGATGCGTCAATGATCCCTGAGTTGTGCCACCGGCTCATATTGCGAAAGGGCGCCGAATGTTTTTTTGCACAGGAATCCAAAGACTTCAAAGGGTTCTGGAATATTCGAAATGATTCTGAATGCATCCGCCAAGCTACTTGGACCAATGCTACGCAAAGGTTGAGCAGGCTAAATCCTCTCAAGGACCAGGGAACAACAGCGGGCTTGCCAAATATCTCCTGGCCACGCAAACGCAAATCACAGGTCACGCTCAATTATTCCACAAATATCCACAAATAATACCAAAAAATCCAAAACAATCCCAAAACGCTTCCAATTTGGAAATCAAGAATCCGGAATCTCGACGACATACCATGGATTATATAGGGCCGTATTCATACTGTCGGACATCGGCTCTTTTCTCCGAAATACGGTTGGCGGCATGCCAAGCCGCCTTGCAGCCGAGTGATCTGCCCAGAAGTTTCCGAAGTGGATCGTCCGTAGAGGAGATGTCAATTGCCCAGCAGAGTTTTTTGAGGAATGACCTTAACAACAGTCAAAATCATTCAAAAATGTTCGAACAGATTCAATAAGTGAATCCATTCCCATCCGAACGGCTCTGAACGATTCTAAATTGTCCCCCCCGCCCCCCAACCCCGAACCAAACGCAAACCCAAGGGACATGCTCCAGGAAGTGGGATGATGGGATTGCCCTGGTGGAGCAAAATTCGAATGGGAAGCCGCGGCAAGGCGTGTGCTGGTAGAGGATCATACCTCACATTCTTCCAGAAAGGCACACCAGCGAGATCTTGCTCATCGAGTTTCTCAAATACGCCAAACAGCGCTTCTCGGAACCAGGCATGGCTATTGTGGGCGTCGAATGTGATTCCCCTGATCAAATGCGCCCCAGCTTCCAAAAGCAGACCAATCACGTGGAGCATTTCCTGATCTACTTTCCACAGGAGCAAGCAAAATCCGATCTCTGAAAAAAATTAAACACCACAAACGGAATCAAACGGATACAAACGGAAGAAATCCAAGTTTCGCGGTTGCCTGCATTCACGAGGGTTTTCTCCGAACCTTTGTTTGGCCCCAATCTCATTGGCATGGCAGCCAGAGGAAAGCCCCGGCGGCGGCGCAAATGGGGATCCCACACCAGCGCCAGCAACATCACTGAAGCTTTCTCGCGAGAGGCCGCATTCAATTCACCAAAGGGCAGAAAGGGTTCGCTCAGATCTGTTGGGGACCAGGGGCCTCCGACCAGACCATCCACGTCTCCAATGCGCATTTGGGAATAGCTCTTCAACAGGTAGGTGCAATCAACTGCCATAATGAGCCGTGACTGTGGCCACTCCGGCAGTCTAGGCAGCTGTTGGTCGATGATCTCGAGGTTCCTGGCCATTTGCTCTTTGCTCATCAAGGCTAGTGCTGGATTTGGCAGGCCATGCTCGAAGAGTTTGTCAAGTTGCAAGGTCGGCGGCCTTGCGTTCTGACCCAGCGCAGAGCACAACTGCACATTTTTGTTGTGCATCGACAGCGTCAGGGCTGCGTCCCTGACAAGCTCCTCCTCCGTGACTGACAAATCCTTCCACCTGCCACGAGACGACTTGGCATGCACGTCACGGTCCAACGAGCGCAAGCACTGCACCAGCAAGCCTTGAAGGAATGGGTTGGCGTTGAGCTTGCCGCTGATGATGGACTGCGCAATCTTTGTATTCAGCTGGTCAACTTCCTGGGAGCGCTGAAGAATTAAATGCGACACCAGCCCCTATAGAATCAGTGGTCTCAATCATACCCTTTCTATAAAATCAAGACCTGCCTCATATTGAAGCATTTCCTAGCATATTCATGTCTAGCATATTTTTTTGAGCGCCATGACAAGCCCAACCTTGACAATGAGGTTGCCAAAAGAAATATAAACAAACAAAAACACACATTTATAGAATCAGGGACCCACCTTCACAATCAGGTTGGAAAAGAAAGCATCTTTGGAAACCGTATCATTCAGCAACCCCTGATTTAAAAGAAGGACATGAACATACATGAACAAAACATAACAAAACCTACCAACCAGCATCAAAGCCATCTGAAAGATTCCAAAGGAATTCAGGAGTGCATCTATAGAATCAGGAGAACTCAGGAGATATCAGGAGTGCATCTATAGAATCAGGGACTCTGCTGACAGTGACATGCCTACTTTACATAGTATCTTGGTTTATCTTGTCTATATAATCCTAATAATATCCTATATAATCCTACAATATCCTAAAATATCCTATAATATCCTATAATACCCTATATATATCTATATATCTAAATATATATATATATATTATCTTTTCCAAAAGGTCTGCAGCTAAGTGGCATTCAGTCTTTTGGAAGTCAAGGCTGGAACGAACTGAGCAGATAGGCGGGTCAGAGTCTCGTCCGCAGTATTAACATTGATCTTCAGGCACGGCTCCACTACCTTTGCCAGAAAAAGCTTCATGGGTTCAGTGTCCCCGGCAACGCTGGTTCCAAAATTGAAAGCACTCCGGACAAAATCCTGCAGCTCTTCAACCTTGAAATTGCGGATCCTGTCCCACAAGGTTACATGGTACTGCCCAAAAGGACTCTGCGAGATCTCTGCTACTGTGGCTGCCAAGTCATCATCTGTGCAAAAGAGCCTTTGCTGGAGCAAAGTGGCCGCGTAGTACTTGCTCAGGAAGCGAATGACAAGCTTTACGACTCCCCTGGTCGAGGCTGCGCTCAAGCACTGATCGCAACATGGGCCTTGTTGCATCCTCTTGGCACACTGGAAATGCCTAACATACCAGGTATCTGTTGTCCGATCACACCAATAGGTGTGCTTGACAATTTTTGAGTCAAGCTTGGAATACTGCACCCACAAGCGGAACTCAGCATGGTATTTGGCCAGGACACCAAACTTTTGTTCCGATGACACACAATATCCAGGACAATGGGTCTCTACCGTCTGCGTGTTGTTGGAGAGCTCAAATTTCCTCACATTTCCAATGTGAGTGGGTGTTTCAAGATGTTGTTGGAGAAAGTACCTGGCCGCCTTGAGCGTAGGAGGGTCCCCAAGCTTGTTGATCTTGCCCGTGGGCTGATTTTGCGTCTTGCACACAAGGCACTGGTATTTCAACGGAAACCCTGGCAACAGCTTGATCACCGGAGCCTTCGACTCAACATACTCCACTACACGTTTGTATTCTGCGTCCGGATCCTCTTCGTCTTCATCATCTGGTGCATCATCCTTCGCTGCCTCTGGTTCCTCTGGTTCATGAAGCGCAGGCACAGGCTCTGGCTCTACCAAGGAACTGTAAAAAAAGTCCCTGGCTTCAAAGGTCTTGATGCCACATGTCTCTGCAAATTTCTGGCAAACTTCGCAAGTTGGATCCTGTGCTCTGATGAGATTGGTTTTGAAAGCGGAGAAGCCGCCATCCTTGCACACAAAACTCTTTTTGCATTTTGGAGCAAAGCGGTGCTTGGCCGCAAATGCAGCATACGTCGCACCCTTGCCTGCAAGCCATCGTGCCAAGCGCTTGTGGCGCAGCTCCAACGGTGTGGGTTGCCGGGACTTGACAGCACGGGAATGCCTTGCTCGTTTTCGTTCCCCCTCTTTGGCTTTCATCAGGTCTGCTTCACTGATTTCATTCAAGCCGACCTCATCGACACTCATATCATCTTCTGCCGGGGTTGACCTCGGCAACATTTGTTTGGCCATATGATTGGCTTCCTCTAGATCTGGCACCCCTGGATCCAGAGATTGATAGACGGCTCGTTTCTTGCCAGTGAGATCGTTGTGCCCCCGCTTCCGCAAATTTGGAGATGGAGGGTTTGCCCTCGCAACGAAGGGGACAGGCTTGGCACCCTCAACAACATCAAGCCGTCTTCGCTTGCCATCGTGCCTGTGAACTGCTGGCTTGGGTGGAGTTTTCAACATATCATTCATGCCCGGAGAAGAATCGGGAGGATGAGCAGGAGCTGCCTTTTCCCTCTGTGGTGTTGTTCGCATCTGCTCGTCCTCCGACTCAGACTCCACATCTTCCTCTAGGACAAAGAACTTGAAAATTGCTTGCCACGTGATGTCGCTTGCAGCTGCCTGCCACAGATTTGACAAGGTACGACGCATCTGTCGTTGCTTCCTGTTTGCTCTCGGTCCTTGGAAGAACGTGTCCTCAATCTTTGGCCCTCTTTGCAAGACCTGCAATGACCACACCATGCAGTTCCCATCTGCGGGGACCTCCAATGGAAGTACTCCAATGGACCAGCAGCGCTGACAAAGATCTGCCCAATGTCTAAGCCTTAGGCGCATCACAGCCACACTTACCAGAAAAATCACCATAGAAAGTGAAAGAAGGGATGGAAGAACACACAAATGACACCAAATAACACCTATAGAATCAGGCGCCCATGTGGCCCATGGGTTCTTGAAGGCCTCCCTCCCAACCAATTCCCTGGAAAC